GGTTGAATCTGACTTCTTAGTATCTAGCGGGAGGGCTTGAATCATATATGGAGGGAGGATCTTTTTAAGTTCTTCTCGCAAAGCTAGACCAAGCTCACTTCGAACTATTTTACGAATAATTTGCTGATTAGCTTTAGAAGAAAAAGAATCGGCAAGTGTATCATCCTGTTTTGTCTTGCGGGCCTTTTTCTCAGATTTACTTTTACCGCCTCCGGTAGACTCCTTCTGAGAAGATGATTTTTTAGATCCGAATTTATTACTAGATGAGGTATTACGCTTTACTTTTTTTTTGACTTGGCAATATTAACAGTGATATTACCCCCAGAATCAGAAGAACTTGTGTCAGAATCTGAACTATCACTAGATGATGATTCGCTAGAGGAGGTACTAGAATCTAAATTAGAACCCGAATCCATAGTAGCAAGATTAACTTTAGCATTCTTAGACCTCTTTTTCTTCTTCCGAGTGCATTTGCGAGAATTATGTCCAGTCCTGTTACAGTTAGAGCACCGCTGTTGCGTCTTCATAGCTTTTTTAATCGCTCTAGCCACATGTAGCTTTAACTGCTTTTTTGTAAGCTCAGCAAGTTCTTCGTCAGAATCGACTTCAACCTTTTTCTTTGGCTTTGGTGGCAAAGTAGGATTAGGGACAGGAACAAATTCTGGGGTTTCTCCCGTAATCCATGATAAAAATCTACCTATATTTTCATCTCGTAAATTTCTATACATTCCTGCAGGATGTGGTTGGAATTGCGATAAAGCCACTTGTTGAGGCCGTTGGGATTCCGATGATGCTATTGTATTTTTTACCAAGCTCTCAATTTCATTTTTAGTCATCCCACCTCCTGATCTATTAGTATCTACATAGGGGCTAGATGCTGGAAAAACTGGAATAGAAGATGGTGCATTTTTTTGAGATAATGTAAATTTTTCTGCTTCAGCTAAGGCTTCTACAATATTATCATGTGTATCATGAAACTTAACTATCATTCGAAGATTATACTGGTTCATAGAACTTAAGCCACGAATTAATTGCTCTCTTTGTTGTTCTGGAGTCATTCTAGCTAATTTACCGATCTTTTTGATTCAGGCAGAAAACTCTTCAATACCCATATCCCCTTGCATAAGTTGACCAAAAACTACCGTATGTTTTAAGTGTTTGACGGTCGTATAAGCAGTTTCGAGTAAGTATAAATGTTGGCCGAATGTTGTATTAGGCGCTATTGTAACAGCAGGTAAACCACTACCAGCATTTGGGGCCACTGGCGCATTATTTGTAGGCTCGCCACCTGCAATAGACCAGTCTTCACCCCATGTTCCATTCGGAATAATATCAGCTCCAGTTGCGACACCTGCACCAATTCTACCAATTTCTATACCAGCTTTACCTTGAAATTCTCCGGCAGTATTTAAACCACCAATTTGATTACCACCATTTCTGGCGGCCAAAGCTCTAACTGCAGTTAAATTAGCCACACCTAAATTATCTGAGATATTACTACATTTCCAATTCTTGCCTCTGATGCGAATTTCATACCATTGCTTAGCAGGTCCTTCAAGACAAGATATTAATAAACCTAAAGCCTCTGCTCTTCCGGTGGCCTGACCTGCTTCAGGAGCTACATTTATTCAACTAGCTACTACATATCTCTGAAAATCTCTAAGGAAATCTTCTAGATCTTCTCCAGGATGTCCATAAAATATTGGGGGTCCGTATCCTACCATTCCTGATTGTTGTAAATTAGGAGGATTGTTTTGTAATGCTAAAATAATTAGCCGGGAATTTCTATTTATTAGCTGGAGAGTGAATTTCTCATGTATTAATGTATTAATACGGGCCTGCTTTCTAGTATTATTATCGATAATCACCCCTTCCAATCTTTGGGATACACCATGCCATTTTTGATGTCCCAAAGTTTCATCCCTATATCAGTCTTTCCAATTCTGAGCTTGACGAACGGCACAACCATGCCTCCTTCTCCAGCATTATACCTCGCAGTCCACCGATGTGCGGTTCTTCTGAGGTTGTTGATTTCGGCATCTTTACACCTCCTAAGATCATCGATTTTAGCATCTTTACGCCTCCTGAGATCATCAATTTCAGTATCTCTATGCTGACGTGCATGTCTTTCATCCTGTAAAGCCTGAGTTAACATGCGGACATTACGCAGTGCCTCTACTTCTTATTGTTCTGCATTCCTAGTTCGTGCAGTTTGTTCTGCAAGCTGTCTACCTCGATTCTCCCAATATCGTTGGGTTGTTTCAACATATCTAATAGTATTAGTTAAGCTTATAGTAATTTCATCAAATTACGTAACTATATCATCTGGGAGATTAATATTTCTTTCATCCAAATGTAATCGAATTTCTGCTACGCAACCTAAAATGTGTAACCGCCCATCTAAAATTGATTGGAATGCATTATCCATATTACCACTATTCTCCGTTCTTTCTCTATTGCTTGAAACTTTTTTCTGGCTTCTTCCAGTTATTTCATGGATACGAATTTTAAGCTTCTTGACCTTATCTTCTAATTCATATAAGCGCTCCTCCCCAGATAATATATGCTTCTCCTTTTCCCCTACATATTGCAGAGCTTCACGCAGGCGCTTCTTGAGAGACGTGATCT